CTAAGATCTTACAAGATATTTTTTAAGATCTTAGAATGTTGAATATTGATTTTTTTGGATAAGATCTTGTAAGATCCTCTTAAGATCTTACAAGATTTTTACCAAGATTTTTTAAGATCTTAAGAGTTAAACAAGATCTTATTACGATCTTAACCTCAATAAGAATCTTTCAAGATTCTTGTAAGATCTTACAAGATCTTAATAAGATTTCCACCTGGGTACACTACCAGGATTCTTGACTAGATTTATATTAATTTTATGTTAATACCCACTCTCCTCTGCAGGAGCTATGGATTGCAGTAAACAGTAAAAATTAACAAGCATTGAACAGGTGGACTCATTCCATACTTATAGACCAGAAAAAAAAAGGATCTCACCTACTGGAACTCTGCTCAGTGCTAGGAAAAGTAATGTTGTTGGAATTCCTGTCAGAATATAACCTACAGCTGCACCAAAGAGGCTAATCAAAAGAACATTTTTTCTTCCAAATATATCACTCAGTTTGCCGTACGAATACGAAAAAGTGTACCACTAATATACATGTAGATTAACTTCAAGTTCAATATTAATTCAAAGCTGATTCAAAGTCATTCAAAATCAAGTCTGCCACATTAATTATGTTTGCCACGGTATTTTATATCTCACACAGTATATTACACTAGTCAAGGTTTGCCCACACTGTGAAAATAGGAGCAAATCTTGGGGCATTCCATGACAGTGTAAATTTACTTGTGATCTATCATAAAAGGTTTGAACACAGAAGTAACATTTTAGGAGAGTTTTATGATGACTTCCATTGTGTTTGAAACATCAATCATAACTGCTGATGACAGACATTCTCAGCACTGGACTCCGGCCTGACTAAGTTGGGATCAAGGAAATTACATTTGCCTAAAAGTGACTAAGAGAGGGTGTTTAACTGCCTCAAGAATAAACTATAACATGCGGGTACAGACCAAGCACAAGTTAACCAAATATCCTTCCCTCCCCAACAGGGTAATATCAAAAATCTTGTAATCTAATCAGCTTCATGCTACTCACTATCAATTCTGTAATGCTTGGTAGGTGAAGTGAGTAGGCTACCAGTGTGAGATTGTAAATAAAATACAATCAACGCCTGAGCCTGTCTTCTGGGGAGGATCCAGGATTTAGTCAAGGGGGGCTTGGAGGGGGGTTTGGAGAGTTGTTCTCCCTCTGAGGGGTCCAAGATTTTGAAAATTAAGTCTTCGGAAACATGATTTCCAGCATTCTCAGGGAAAATTTCGTGGGTTCGACCGAACCACCCGAACCACTCCTGGATCCACCCCAGGTCTTGATACTGAGTTTTGAACAACAAGTAGATAGATACAAACTGTAACAATTACATAATATGCTCTCTAGATATTTATGCCCCCCTTGGTCAATTTGGACTTCACCCATATCAACTGTCACATGAAAAAAACAAGTTTATAATCTTGCTTTTAAGTATACTTTGTGAAAGTGTTGCGTGACTTTATGCATATAACAATAAATCATAATAATAAATTACAATTTATATAGCACTTATTGCAAGCCTCTAAGCACTTAACAATGTTTTGCAGGGGACTTAACAGACTGCTTGCAGCAGTTTACAATTTTTTGTGAAGACTTATTTTAATAATAATAATAATAATAATAATAATAATAATATAGTCAAAACTCTTAATTACCATGACAGGACTGGAAAACAATTGAAGGGCACCATATATAGACCCTGTAACATAATAAAACAGAAAACCAATTATTATACAGATAAAAAGCCAGCCTTAACAACTTTTTATAAGCAATTTTTTTCAAAATTCCAAGTCTTGAGTATGTAATTTGACGACACACAAGATTGCTGAAAGAATAGGAATCTTCTGTCTCTGTTCAACTTGTTCTTTTTTTTAACGAGGCATCTTTTTCTGGACAATTTATAAGTCAAGAACTATAAGAATAAACACGGAGAACTTCCCATCGAGAAGAAACACCAAGGGTTTCAAGGTGATGTACAGTGAAACAATGAATTAACAGGTGCAATTTAACAATGAACTAGTGAGTTTTCCAGGTAGAGGAAGCTCGTTTGTTCAAAAGTGTGCCTTTTACGGATCCACTAGCCTATCACTCCGACAAGCGACGGTGATGCCCCAAGCTCTCTAGCTCTGTGAGTGAGAAAAGGTAAGAAGCAACTTACAGCGAATAAATCCTGTTAGACATAAAGCAACAACAATCTCTGGTCTCTTGTTTACACTTATCTCAACCACAGGCAGCCCAAGCTCACTACAAGAAAAGCGGACGTGACTCTTGCCGTGTTGCGCCACAGGATACCCAGACAAGCGACGAGTCTGATTGTTTATTCGAAATATAAAGGAATGTATGGGAGAATATTGAAGAGTCTTATTATCGTAAACTTATATCATGAAAGGTCTGAGTTAAAGCTTAAAATAAATGTAAACCTACCTCACTTGCTGTGTATTGTCGTTTCTGTGGCTCTAAATTGCGAATTTGAGCGATTTGGTGAGTTTTTCGTCGACTGTGTATAGGTGGTTTGCAACCAATCTCTAGAGACACAGGTAACAATGGTGAAAGGAACAAATGCTGGTGGACCAACAAAAGGTGCCAATGAGATATCTATTGTTTACGTCCACCAACATGGCGGCAATGACGTAACGTCCAAACCACCTATAGTAACAGTAACAATGGCCGCAAAACCCACCGAATCGCTCAAGTTCACAATTGAGAGCCACGGAAACGACACTACACAGCAAGTGAGGTAGGTTTACATTTACTTTGAGTTTTAACTCAGACATTTCATGATATAAGTTTACGATAATAAGACTCTTCAATATTCTCCCATACATTCCTTTATATTTGGAATAAACAACCAGACTCGAAGTTTGTCTGGTTGCCCTGTGGTTGCGCAACGTTTTATATTTATGAAGGTTTGTATGGGATGTTATCGGTTTGCCTTAAAAGAGAGAAAAAAATGTCTTGTTTTGAAATAAAATGGGCTTACCTTATTGCCTTTTTTGTTTTCTTTCTGGATTCCTAGCGTCTCAGGCTATTTTGAAGCGTTTTCGGCGAGTTAGCGCTATGTTGGTGTTCAACGCTTCAAAATGGCCTGACACGCTAGGAATCAACAAAGAAAACAAGAAGGCAATAAGATAGGCCCATTTTATTGCAAGACAAGACCGTCTACAAAAACTTCTACTTATGGTCTTCACTCCTTTTCATATAATGGCTTCAAAACTATGGAACTCTCTTCCGGACTCTTTTAGAACGTCTGACTTTTCTGATTTCAAGCGAAAGATTCTACAGTATGACTCTTTTTCATAGTTTAATTGTAGAGTGTTCCAATTTTACATTTTAGTAGTATTTAGAAGTATACTTGTAACTCGAAGATACTAGCTTATCCTTTAGCTACGCCAAATTCGAGATTAAATAAAGTATAAAATTATGTATGTATGTATGTATGCATGTATGTATGTATGTATATGTTGCGCAACACGGTAAGAGTCACGTCCGGTTTTCTAGTATAGTGAGCTTGGGCTGCCTGTGTCTCAACAAGATTGAATTATTGAAAAAGAAAGCGGCACTGGTCGATCATACCAGAAATCCTACGCAGTACACAAACAGTAAATCAGCACCGTTCCCTCTTTCATCTTAAGGAAGGAAGCCAAAATCACCTTTGGCCACTTCGAACCGAGAACACCATGCATGTTCAATTTGCTTGATTATAATAAATACAAACCAAAACTCGAATTGGTCGTCTGAAGGTCTAAGTGCGTTTTGATTGGTTTCTCCTTCCACGTGATCAGACTCTTAACTCGTCACGCAAACAGTTTGGCCACCAACAACATTACGTCATGACAATAGCGTGATGCTTTAAAACTGCCTTGCTTTTGCTTTTCCACCTCCTTTTGAGTGAACTCGAGAAAAACATCACCAGTAAGGGTTGAATTTAAAGAGTCAAGTCCCTGAAGTGTAAATACATGTATCATTAGAGCAGGTGTGTTACTCCAAAATAGAGAACACATGATGCTTCATAAACAATGTATGTACATATACAATTTGGACTTGTTTTTGTTTCTTTTAGTGAAAAGAACACTTCATGGAAAAAACAGCAAGTTCGGCTAGTTGCAATTGATAGTGGTTTTTGGCTAAGTCAGTTAGTGAACATGAAGATTAGAGAGCCACAAAAAAACAAAACAAAAAACAAGGATTTTTTTCAGGGCTTCACCGCCAAAAACTCTGTCGAAACATCCATTTGAAAAGTTTGGTACAAAATAGCTATGCTGAATTTAAGATTGACAAGGCTGAATATTCTTCTGTAGAATCCTTCTGAGTCTGTTTTCTTTTTTCTTTTTTTTTTTCTTCTTTTATTCTCTGGCCTCCGAGATTGAACGTTACATAGATTCCTTTCTTAGATAAGCTGAATCGATACCAGCTACTAGTGTGGCATCCAACTGAACGAAGACGGTAATGTGTTCCTGCGAGTAGCAAACCGTCTTCCTTAGGTACTCTTTCATCCTTTAAGAACTTTGTCACTAATCACTATTTTAATTTATTAGCAAATGTTTTCGATATTGACCAACCGTGTACCTGGTCAGTGTTTATAGACTGTTCCTGCCATAGAACTCATTCGCACTGACTTAAAACTTTGTAATATTTATTTATTTTTTATTCTGTAGGGAGTTTCCTTGCATGGGTACTCACGTCCCGTTCGTTACTCCCTTTTGGCAATTTTTTGTACGTGTAACTTCTCGTTTATTACTTTTGTAACTCAGTAGAATGCCAATAAAAAAAAAATAAAATAAAAAAATAAAAAAAACCCTTCGGTTTGAAGTGACGTCTTTATAA